TTCTGCGGCGGGGGGGAGAGTTTTAGGGGGGAACTCTCTGTTTGAAGACATTTCATTCATCATCACGAGTTCCCCAATCAGCATTCATTAAACTGTTCCAAACAATGATTGTCTGATAATGTTTGTGTTTTACAGTGATGGGTCTTTCCCCTATGACTCTGTTCCTTGGCAGCAAAACACCAACCAACCACCGGGTTCTTTATCAGTGGTCACTACAGTATGGGGTGTGACTAACACCTCACAAAGCCAGGTAAGCTTCATTTTATGCTCCCAACCCTGAGCTATGCATTTTGGTCAAGTCTTTTGTCAGTAAAATGAAAAAAAAAACCACAACAGAAAAGAAGGGAAAGGCCTGTCATAAAAGCTGTATTTTTCCTCCTCCTTTTGTTCTTCTCTCAGCAGAATGGCTACATATTAGGGTTTGACTTATTTTGAGCTGGTAATGCAATTGTGTGGGTGGAAATGTCACATTATATTGGTGCACTTGTATAAACACTTGCTTTTATACAGGAGAGGGGTGAGAATTAGGGACGTAAAAGCCCAGTTAATCGGTTAACCGGTTAAAAGTTAGGTGACTCTAATGTTTAACTGGCTAAACGGAAACCAGACTGGGCACTGCTTCATCCCAGCTGGGGAAGCCTCCAGACCACAGGACTCCCACTCCCAGCTCCCATGATGGGGGTGGGATTGCAACAGGCTCCCGGCTACCAGCCCCCGCCAGAGTAGCCCCTGCCTGTGAGTGCCTGGGCCTGCCATGGATAGGGGCTGCTCTTGTGTTTGCTGTGGGCAGGGCCGGATTAAGGAATGGGCTAGTTGGGCAGCTGCCATCAGGCGCCACGCGCCCGGCTCCCGGATCACAGGCTGCAGCATCTTCCAGCGGCCATCCTGCAGCAGCCGCCCGGGGCGGGGGCCGTGTTAATCCCCTCAGTGCCGGCCAGCAGCACCCCTTCCCCCATGGCTGCGGGGCCCTGCACGGCCAGGCTCGGCCCACCCCGTACACGTCCTCCCCCACATGCCAGGCGAGGGTGGTGCCGCGCATGCACCTTCCCCCAACCCGGTGGCGTAATTAACCTGGCTGTGGGCACCCTGCAGGGCTGGAGCAGTCCTTTGACTGTGGCAGGCAGTTTAGGGTGATGCTTACCGGTTAACCCATTAACCTTTCACATCCCTAGCAGTGTTTCCTCTGCGCGGTGCAGCTCAGCTTTACAGGTGATTAGTCAGCCCTGCCCAGTCAGTCAGCTCCCTGACTAGGTAGGGCTCATTAAGCACCTATGAAGTTGTGCTGCCGCACAGCTTGGAGGGAACACTGATACCTAGTGATTATCGGTCCTGAAATGGTTGTTGTAGCGTTTTTCCTTATGTCCTTAATGGAGAATTTATCTCATGTAGTCTACTGCAATGATTAAAATATTCAGACCATGGAAGAATTGCTAGTGCCAGAATATAACTGTTCTGAAAATCTCTATCCCAGAAAAAATTTGCATTTTTGAGCAAAAGTTTATCTCATATTGGGACAAAAACTCCAAAATGCAAAACTTTTCACAGGAAGGGATTTCGACAAAATTCGGTTCCAAGAGAACGGGAATGGAATTTTTTAACTTGCATGCAGCTGGCCTGGAGGGTTCTTATTAATTTCACTTTTTTTTCTGTGCAGGCAGAAAATGAAATTGACAGAACCTTCCAGATAAAATGCCAAATGCCATTCACTTGACTCTTCACCTCTTCCCCAACCCCAGGACATCTCTGGTTGCCTGACTGGAAATGTTTTTGTCAATTTTATTTTCTCTTGAAGACAAAATTGATAGGAACCTTTCATGCAGGCATTTTGTTCCAATGGAAAACGGAAAGCTTTCAGGGAAATTTGAAATTTGCTATAGAAAATTCAGTTTTATGGAAACTCCATTTTCCCTTGGCAAATCATTCAAATGGCATATTCCCAACCAGTTCTCTATACCAAAGACTCAAGCCAGTTGAAGTTAAAACCAATAAAAATACTTTCGTTGACCTCAGAAAGTACCAGGATTTAGGACCACACACGGTGTGTGACATTGATCATATCACTGAACCACCTGATGCCTTAGTCTATGTCTATCCTATGAACTAAGGTTGTGATTTTCCTGCTCGTGTAAATATACTTGTGTTAGTCTCATTGAGCAAGCATGAGTGTAAATAGTGACAGATGCAAAGCATCAGAACTGGAGGCAAGGCTGATGTATATTTAGTGGAAACCTGCCTGAAACTAGTACATATGTATTGTGCATTGCTCAGCCAGGCCTGCCCTAAATCAATTTTTGGGGACAACAAATTATCAAACTAACACACTTGTTTGTTGATTCTCCACTTTATCAGCTGGATTCCCCATGTGAAAAAAAAGTCTGTGGTTTCTTATTATAACTTATCAAAAGCTTCAGTGAGGTGGTAGTGATCAGAAATAACTGTGGGCTTAAAAATGGCAAGGAGAGCTTACAAGAAATTAACATATCAAGGTGCATGCAGCACAACTAGTCCTGAACTCATTTGTGTACAGTGTATAGAAATTAGTTAATGTCTGAAGCAGAGCTGTCAAGCGATTTTAAAAAATCATGATTAATTACACTGTACAAAAATTAATCATGATTAATTGCACGGGTAAACAACAATAAAATCCATTTATTTTAAATATTTTTTTATTTTGTTACGTTTTAAAATATTGATTTCAATTACAACATAAATACAAAGTGCAAGTTTCTCTTTGTAAAAAAAAATGTATTTTTCAATTCATCTCATACAAGTATTATACATATTGAACCTCTCTAATCCGGAACACTGGTCCAGCAACATCCGTGGTCCGGCATGATTTTAGTTAGCCAAATATCCACTTATCATAGGTGTGGTCAAGTCTCCCGTGGTCCCAAAAAGTTTATTTACAGCCACCAGTCCTGGCTCTCAGTGTTGTGTTAAGAGCCCAGTAAGCAGTAGAAGTGTTGGTAATGCTACTAGATAATATTGACCGCCCGTGGTCCTGCAAATTCTCTGGTTCAGCATCATTCAGGTCCAGAGGGAGGGTACTGGACTAGAGAGGTTCAAGCTTTAGTACAATCTCTTTATCATGAAAGTTGAACTTATACATTTAGAATTATGTACAAAAAAATCCCTGCATTCAAAAATAAAAGAAATAAAACTTTAGAGTCCACACAGTCCTGCTTCTTGTTGTTGGAATGATTGTCTGAATAAGTGTGGTTACAATTTGCAGGCGATAATGCTGCTTGCCTCTTGTTAACAGTGTCACCTGAAAGTGAGAATAGGGGTTCACATATCACTATAGTAGCTGACGTTGTAACATATTTACATACCAGATGTGCTACAGATTCATATGTCCACTTCATGCTTTCACCGCCCGCCATTCCAGAGGACATGCGTCTATGCTGCTGAGGGGTTCTGCCTGATAATGATCCAAAGCAGTGCAAACTAATGCATATTCATTTCATCATCTGAATCAGATGCCACCAGCAGAAGGTTGATTTTCTTTTTTTGGTGATTTGGGTTCTGTAGTTTTCGCATCAGAGAGTTGCTCTTTTAGCTCTTGCGAAAGCATGTTTCACCCATCGTCCCTCTTAGATTTTGGATGGCACTTCAGATACTTAAACCTTGGTTTGAGTGCTGTAGCTTTCTCCAGAAATCTCACGTGGATACTTCATTTGCATTTTGTCAAATCTGCTGCAAAAGCATTCTTAAAATGAACAGTGCTGGGTCATCATCCGGGGCTGCTATAACATGGAATATATGGCAGAATGCATGTAAGACAGAGTAAGAGACATACAGTCCTCAAGGAATTAAGTCATTAATGTAAGTAATACATTATTTTTTAAAGAGCATCATCAGCATGAAAGCATGTCCTCTGGAATGATGGCCGAAGCAGGAAGGGGCATATGAATGTTTAGCTTATTTGGCAATAAATACCTTTCAACGCTGGCTACAAAAGTGCCATGCGAACATCTGTTCTCACTTTCTGGTGACATTGTAAATAAGCAGGCAGCTGTATCTCCTGTCAATGCAAACAAACTTGTTTGTCTTAGTGATTGGCAGAACAGGAAGTAGGACTGAATACATTCATAGACTCTAAAATGTTACGTTATTTTGTTTTTGAGTGCAGTTATGTAACCCCAAAAATCTACATTTTTAAATTACACTTTCATGGCATAAAGACTGTTCTTCAATATTTGTATGAGGTGAATTGAAAAATTCTATTTTTGTTTATAATTTTTACAGTGCATATATTTGTAATAAAAAATACTAGTATAAACTGAGCATTGTACATTTTTTTTATTCTGTGTTTCAATTGAAATCAATATTGAAAATATAGAAAAACATCCACAAATATTTAATAAATGACATTTGGTATTCTAATTTTTCAATCCCAATTAATATTTTGAGTTAATTACATGAATTAAGTATGATTAATTAACAGCTCTAGTCTGTAGCAAACTAACATATTTTACAGCCATAGCTTTAAGTGATCTGAGGGCTTTCTCCTTATTTTGAATATTTCTCTTCATAGGTGCTGGGAAACCCAATGGCAAATGCCAATAATCCTATGAACCCAGCAGGAAACCCCATGGCTTCTGGGATGACTACCAGCAACCCTGGCATTAATTCCCCTCAGTTTGCTGGGCAGCAGCAGCAGTTTTCAGCCAAGGCCGGTTCCGCTCAACCTTACATACAGCAGGGCATGTATGGACGACCCAACTATCCTGGAAGTGGAGGCTTTGGTGGGAGGTAAGACTAGTCTTGGCGGAGTGGAAATTGGACATGAATAGTTCAGGGCATTGTAAGTTTGCGTAGCAATTTAATGTGTCTTAGGGTCCCTTTGGTTATTTAAAGAGCAAATCTACACAACAGCTGGATGGTGTGATTCTCAGCAGACAAACTTGGGCTAGTTCTGCCCAACTTACTGTACAGAAAAAAGCAGTGTGACTCTAGCAATCCACCCAGCCTTGGTACATGTTCAAGCCACCAGGGTCATGCTGCTATTTTTAGCATGCTTAGCTCTAGCAGGGCTACCACATGTATGTTTACCTGCACCGGGAATTGCACCTCCCAGCTGGGCTTAGAAATGCCCCACCTCTTGGTGATTAAGGCCTAGCTAAATTGCATACTGAAGCCATGGCTTGAAAAATCGGCTTGCCAAAGAGCAGGAAATCCATCACTGTACCTGGAAATTAGGTCAATCCATTAGCCCTAACAAACCCCTGAAAGAAAGTTTTAATTAACACAAACACAAGACACAAACCATGGTCTTGAGAATGATTTACATTCCTGATAGTATAACTTCCATCACTCTGTATAGGAATTGAGCTCTGATATTAATAAGGCTATTTTCTTGCAGAGCTAATAGGCAGACCTCTGAGAGAAGGTTTGTATCACTGCAGGAATTTATAAAGCAATTCCTATGACTGAAGGATAGGGTTTTGGTCTTTAATGTTAAACTAGGTATTTATTTTGGTGGCGTAAATATTGTTCTTGTGAAAGGAGCCAAATTAATTAGCCCAGGTTATCTACAGAACACAGGTACAAAATGTAAACCTAGGCAGTAAATATGCAAGCTCCCAACACCTATTCCTGAATGCACTTTTACTAGTGATAGTGTAGCTCTGTCTCTGGGACTCATCAGGGATGGGTTCCTAAAAAAGATACCTGTGCGGTACAATAGAACAGCACTGTCTAAGAATGTTGGAGACTACAATTCTGTTTTCATTTCTGCCACTGTGTTGCCAAGCGACCTTGTACCATTCACTTAAACTTTCTATACTTCAGTACAGTTCTTCTGTAAAATGGGCATAGGGTTGACCCGCCTTTTTAAAGATCCTTGAGGCCTACAGCTGAAGTACTCTATTTTGATTGTGTATTTTGTGGTCATTTTGTGATTAGTATGTGAACTGGGGAGGCACAGCCAATGTGCTGCACACACAATTCTCCAGAACCACCAAATGACAGCCATCAGTTGCTACTTGTCACAAATGGCCCCTGACGGCCACTTTGTTGAGACCTCAGAGGGGACTGATTTACTTTTCTACTCCTGGAAAAACTGATGCTTTCCACAGTTGAGAAACATAGATGGCTTGTTGTGCAGGAAGCTTGCATCTCATGCTGCTGTACATCCTAACCCTGAACGGTAGATAATCAGAGCACGTATTCTCTGATGGCCTATGAGTCCAGCAGCTTGGTAGAACAGAATGCAAGTTGAACCTCTCTAGTCTGGCACTCTCTGGTCTGGCAAAATCTGTGGTGTGACATGCCAGAACAGCTCTTGCATCCTCATTTACATCCCAGGTTCTCACTTCATGTCACAGTGCATGTTTGCAATAGAAACTTTCTACATGGTTTTGGAACTGTTCCAGATGGCATCAGATGGAGTCCCCAGTCTATCCCCCAAACACGAGGCCCATTTTAATATCCCTTTCTCTCCTCCCCGGTAGCTACCCTGGTGGCCCAAATGCTCCTGCAGGAATGGGGATCCCTCCACACACGAGGCCGCCTGCAGATTTCACAGCAGTTGCAGCTGCTGCTGCCACGGCAACAGCTACGGCAACCGCCACTGTCGCAGCCCTTCAGGAAACCCAGAACAAGGACATGAACCAGTATGGACCGGTAAGAAAGTAGCTCTTGCAAACTCCTACCCTCCTGACTTCTGCCTTTAGAGAGAAGTGAGAGCCGCTGTTTAGTATGTGAGGTATTTAGGTATCTGCTATGTCATGTGTGGGTGTGCAGGAGAGATGGAGAGCAAGAGATCTCCTGTAGAAGGCATAGGTATGTATGCGCTAATGACATGCGGTGGCTAATACATCATCTTGATGAATCTCTGTTGCCTGCACTAGTGATGCATTTGTACTTCAGAGAGGTCATCCTGTAGTTATAAACATTTGTATGCAAAGTTTTATGCCCACTTCAAGCATGATGCAGTATTACTTCCCCTCCTCCCAAACTGTAGCACACAGGTAAGTGCTCCCAAGCTTCATTTTAGGGCCTGTGCTGTTTCTCTAATTAATTATGTTGCTCAACTCGGTTTAATTTTTCTAAATACAATTAAAAAGAAAAAAACACCCTTTAAGGAATTATCTTTGAGAACAGCGATTGGAAACATCCATTTTTGGTGACCCAAGGCTCAACACACAATTCTTCCCGTAATAACTATTAATGAAAAGAGGAATGAATGTTTGATCTGTGGCAGCTGCTTTTCTCACCACTTCCACCCGTTTAGTGTTTCTAAGCATAGAGGATAACCTCGCTAGCATAAATAAAATAAGCTCTTTCTAAGTCAATTAAGGTGAGCTGAATTACACCCACAGAGAACTCTGGCCCATTACCTGGAGGAAGATGACTGGTCATGTCAGTGGATTTTTATTTGCTCATACTACATCCGTTTTGCTCTTACTAAACTATTATTTTTCTCTCTTGTTGCTTTTAGAATTCCAGTTGATTTATTATTATGCAAATAAAACCTCACAGAAGGTTACAGAACATGAAAAGAAAATGCGACATAATCCCACCCCCCACCCCCTGCTAACAAACTCCCCGCTCCCATTTTAAATGCATGTCGCATTTTATTCTTTTTTTTTTCTTTTCTTTTCTTTTTTTCTTCCGTTGAAGGTTTGTTCCTCTTTCCAGATGGGTCCGACTCAAGCTTACAACAGCCAGTTCATGAATCAACCTGGCCCTCGCGGCCCCACGTCTATAGGACCCCCTTCAGGCTGGGGCGGCCCGCCTAGGGGTATGAGCCAGCCAAGGCCCCCTGGGATAAGCCCCTTCAGCAGCCATGGACAAAGGATGCCACAGCAAGCTTACCCAGGCCCACGCCCCCAGTCTTTGCCTATCCAGGGCATTAAGAGACCGTACCCAGGAGAGGTGAGTGTTCTTGCTCCCTTATTCACTTTGTCTTCCAAGCTACATTATGTGACAGCTGAAATTCCCCCCAGTGCAGAAAACCTATGTACCACCCTGGTGAGCTTGTGTGCGGCAGGTCCGCCTCTGTCCACAAATTGTAGTCTTGCCAAGGGAGCATTAGCTAAAGCTGTACCTGTTTGCGCTTTTTAGCTGTGAAGGTCCCCAGAGTTCAGTCCCTGGTGTATCAGCCAAGATGGTCACCACCAAGCACACACAGCACTGTGAAGTTCTTGAACCCTCAGAATATTACTTTGAAACCCTCCTAATAGAGCTTAAGGTCATAGATCTTATTCAGACTCTGCACAGAGATGAAATTCAACCTGAATGTTTGAAATAAATTTGTCATGGGCAGAGCATATGCTTTATTTACTGTGGCTTTTTTATTGTTTTAAAGAAATACGAGGCAGCACCTCACATAAACAGCGAACACGTGCAAAACTTTAAAATTCAGATTTACTGTGGCTTGGTTTTCATAGGTGCTGACACTCAAAACTCCTGTGGAGCTCAGCGTCCCTGAAAATTCCCACCTCTTGGCATTTAGGATATTTTCTTTTGGTCTGGAATGAAGACTACCTGAGTTCTTTGCCTGTCTGTCTGTCTATATCTTTTTGCCTCTCCTGGTTTTTATAAGATTAGCATAGGATGCAACCCTTTCCTAAGACATAGCAAACAAATGGCTTACAATGTTTCTTCAGGCAAGCTTGATTGAAATCAATGGGAGTTAGGCATTGAGATGCCTTTGTAAATCCCACCAGTCATCCTCTTTAAGGGCCTATGTACCTTTATACATCTATTCCTTTATCTATAACTTTATATAGAATTATAACATACATTAAACTGATACTACGCTATTGGTAGCGCTGACACTAGCTTTTTATTGGCAGTGCAAGTTTACAGAAAATATACATTGATATTCAAAATTTAACAAATATATATTCAGTTTTGTGCAGTTTTCCTAAATGCAGTGTTTCCTGGCCTATAAATAAATGCAACTGTTGTTGTTGCCTTATAAATTAAAAATGACTTACTCCTGCAGAAGTTGCTTATCTCACAAGACTTTTCTACTCCGTAAATACTATCACTCCTTTCCAATGGAGCTAACAATGCATAGTGTGTGATTTTTTTCAGGTGATTATTTTTATCATTAAATATCTTATTTTACGCTTTTATGAAAGATTTGGAATCCCTCCTCGCTATTACAATAGCATATTTGTCGTCACAAGTGAAAACAAGAACATTCTCAAGTAATATGCATTTTATAGTGCTATGAAATCATATGTTTTTTGTAATGGCACGGTGTAAGTTGAGTAGATACTATTTATTGATCGATTAATGGAAATTTCATAGAGGAGGTATGAGTTATAAATTAGCTTGGTCCAAAACTATTTTGTTTTTGTTGCAAGTAATCAATATTCATAAATAGATTTGCCATCAGAATGGAAATATTCTTAATTTAACCCTATAGGTGCCGAGCAATAACTATGCCCACTGACTTCCTGTTGGATCACTGCAGGAAAAATGGGAAGGAATTTAGGTCCAGTGGTTAGGGCGCAAGCCTCGGATTTGAGAGGCCTGGGATCAGTAATCTGTTCTGTCTCAGACTTGTTTTGTGACTTTGGAGAGGTCACTTGTTTCAGGGTTAAAGCGGCTGGAGCCACATAAGGATCCTCCCTCTCTCCCCTACTTGATGTATTCTAGTTTTTGGGAAGAGTATTTCCTTTCTCTGAAGCATCAGAGATGGCTATGGCTAAGGATGGGACAATGGCCAAGTTCTGACATGGTATCAAGCAATCTCTCGGGTGGTTGCCTGGCTGGTTTTTGATCACATGCTTAGGATCTGATACTAACTGATACGTGGGGTCAGGAAAGAATTTTTTCCTGAAGTCATATTGGCAGTGATCTTGAGTGGTGGCACGGTGAGGGATAAGCCTTCCCTTGCAGCATAAAACCATAAAACCGGCCATGCTGGGTCAGACTAGTGGTCCAGCTAGCCTCAAATCCTGTCTCTTGACATTGACCAGTGCAAGATGCTTCAGAGGGAATGAGCAGAACAAGGCAATTATCAAGTGCTTGTCCCCTTTATCCACACCCAGTGTCTGCCAGTTGGAGGCTTTAGGGAAACCCAGAGCACAGAGTTGCGTCTCTGACCGTCCTGGCTAATACCCTATCCTCCATGAACTTACCTCGTTCTTTTTTGAGCCCTGTTTAATTTAACCTTCACAACATCCCCTGGTAACAAGTTCCATGAGCTAACTATGTACTGTGTGAAGTACTTCCTTCTGTTTGTTTTAAACCTGCTGCCTATTTATTTCATTGGCCAATCTCCTTTGTTTGTGTGCTTCGGGAAGGGGTATTGACCACACTATTCATGATTTTTTGTATCCCCTGCTTAGTCATTTCCTTTCTAAGTTGACCAGCCCCAGTCTTTTTAATTTCTCTTCATATGGAAATTGTCCATACCCTTAATTTTTTCTCTCTCTTCGCTATACCTTTTCCATATCTTTTTTTGAGGTGGGTGTTCAGCACTACGGGCAGTATTGAAGTTGTGGGCCTACCCTGGATTTACATAGTGGCATTATGATATTTTCTTATTATCTATCCCTTGCCTCATGGTTCCTAATGTTCTGTTTGCTGTTATGACTGCTGCTGTACAGTGAGCAGATGTTTTGAGGGAATTATCCACAATGACTCCAAGATCTTTTTCTTGAGTGGAAATGGCTAAGCTAGGTCCCATCATTTTGTATGTATAATTGGAATTATGTTTTCCAATATGCATTACTTTGCATTAATAAGAGTGAATTTCATTAGCCATTTGGTTGCCTAATCATGCAGTTTTGTGAGATCCCCTCTGTAACTCTTCGCCATCTGCTTTGGACTTAACTATCCTGAATAATTTTGTATGATCTACAAACTTTGCCACCTCACGATTTACCTCTTTTCTCAGATCATTTAAGAATATATGTAACAGCACTGATCCCAGTACAGGTTCCTGGGGGGACCCCATTATTTACCTCTCTCCATTCTGAAGACTGACTTTCTATTCCTACCCTTTGTTTCCTGTCTTTTAACCAGTTACTGATCCATGAGAAGACCTTACCTCTTATCCCATGACTGCTGAGTTTGCTTAAGAGCCTTTGGTGAAGGACCTTGTCATAAGCTCTCTGAAAGTCCAAGTACACTATATCCACTGAATCCCCCTTGTCCATGTGTTTGTTGACCCTCCTCCCCTTCTAAGAATTCTAATAGCATGCGGGTGTGGGTCTTCGCAAGGATTATCCGGGTATATCTCACTCAATCGTTTCCCTGCCATTGCAGTGGTCTCAGGTACAGATGCTCCTCAGTCCCTTATAATCTCTGCTTGTGGCACATAATAGTGTATCTCTTGGGAGCTGTAATACTTTGGTTTGATTTCAGCTATTGGGTTTAGTGCAGGGCTGGGCTGCATCTGGCTGCCTTCTATTTATATCCTACTGCTTGTGCCACCAAATTTCCAGGCAGTGGCTCGGGCACCGATTTAAATGGATCCTATTTAAATGGCTCAAGGCTCCCAGTTGCAGCACTACCCCAGCAGGGGCAAGAACCACAAGCCCTTTAAAATAGCTGCAGTAACCCCAGGACGTTGCCAGGCAACGTGGTAGTGGCGGGGCCAGGAGCTGGGAGCCCTTTGTGTTTTTCATTCAAAGCTTCCGGTCCCAGACAATTCTGGGGAGAGCTAGTCCCCATCCCTTCCCCTTCCGGGGGTAGAGCTGGCTCATGGCCACGTACCAAAATTAATTAAGTGTCCCGCTTGCGAAAATTATTGCCCACCCCTGGTTTAGTGTGTAGCCAAAATGTGGTGTGTAGTGGTGTGTGGTATATAGAGGTCAGACTACGTGATCTGGTCATCCCTTCTTGATCTTAAACTCTCTGGCTCTGTCATTTAATATCCCTAGGCCTCAGTTCCCCAACTGTAAAACATGGCGCTAGTAGCCCTTCCCTGTCTCCCAGAATTGTTGTGAACATTACACACGAGATGGTAATGCCCTCAGATACTGTGGATATGGGACTTTAGAACTACTTTAGATAGATAGATGCAAGTGCTCAACTCCTCCAAAAATCTGGCTACTTATTTGCGAGCCTAAAGTTGGGCAAAATGTATGACAGATTTTCAAAGGCACAAATGCTTGGGTGCCCATCTCTGTCTGAACAACTTATAAAATTTGAGCACCTTTGAATGCCGGTATCCCTTGTCCTTCAGAGGCCCAAGTCCAGGCACCCAGGTTTGAAAACGCTGGGCAAGGCTTTCATGAGACAGGGAGACATCAGCCTGATTGCATTTTCATTTTAATTCTGTAAGTCAAAGTTCAGTTCAAAATGTATATCTTGTTTTGTTTCATCTTTCTTGTTAATTAGCCAAATTATGGAAACCAGCAGTATGGACCAAATAGCCAGTTTCCTACACAGCCTGGTCAGTATCCAACTCCCAACCCTCCAAGACCTCTTACGTCTCCCAATTACCCTGGACAGAGGATGCCTACCCAGCAAAATACGGGGCAGTACCCTCCTCCGACCGTGAATATGGGACAGTATTACAAGGTGAGACCTTGGGTTCATTGACTGTCTTGGCCGGTGTCACCGAAAGTCCTCTCTTTCTTGTGAGTGGATAAAAAGAGACCCTGGCAAAACCATTGGATCCCCATATAGGATCTGATTGTATACCATTAAAAGAAATAGAAGTTATGCCATTGTCTTTTTGAATCATAATCAGGCCCATACTATGGTAAGCTATACTACATCATAGTTTGGGGGCACGTCAGGTAAATGGTGGGCAAGAAGTAACAGCGAATGTCAAACTGAGCTTGCCTTGGAGGTTGCACCTTTCTAATCGTGGCAAAGCATGATGGTACTCACTGCACGGTTCTTGGACTAATTAAGAAAATTGCAGGAAAGCCAATAGATCAAATCTGCTTTAAGATTAGAATAGTCAAGTCATTTCTGCTATTGGGTTGTAGGGCCATTATATATAATTCTGGAAATGGGGTTGTTTTGTCATTATTTGCATGGGAGGCGGGAACTGTTTTGAGTGGGTCCTGGTTGTGTTATTGAAAAAGAATAAGGAACCCTTTACCACCGAACATCTGTCTTGCACGCAGGCAGGTCACTCGTTCCCTGATGTGGAATGTCTAGAAACATTGCTTTTTCTAAAGCAATTGTTACTACACTGTGGCAGTGGCTGTCCGGCTTTGTCAAGATGAATGCACCAAGAGGCTAGATGCTCAGTGGGTGTAAATCGATGTCACTCCATTGCTGTGACCGACGTTACAATGATTTATGCCAACTGAAGAGTGTTTTAAAAGTGAAGGATTTTATATATTTTTATTCCGATTTATTTTTATTGGCTATGTGCAAGGGGATCTTAGTTTGGATTCTTAGTTATGAGAAGAAAATCGCAACAAAATGTAAAGGGGAATGCTTGCTCTATGGAAATATGCTGCGTGTTTTTTTACTGAAATGTGGATTGAGGTGGTGAGAGGATGAATAGATGAGATGAGCTCATGGAGAAAGGCAGGTACCCCAGGTCAGGGGCGAAGCTCTGAGGTGCAACATACATGATCTGGTGTTTGGGAGTGCGAAAATGGTGAAGACTAGAGCCTGGATGAATGGAGAATTCTGAGGAAGGTTGGTCTGTCAGGATATGGTCTGTCATGCCTTGCAAGCTGTGACGGCTCAGTGACCAGAGATAAAATGCCTCAGCCAAAGAGAAGGTGCTGTAATGTTGACTGTAATGTCCAGCAGAGAGGAGAAGAGTTGGAAAATTAGGGTAAAAGTAGCAGAGATCAAAGGTGGAGAACCAGGCACGGAGGCAAAGAAGAATGAAAAAGTGGAGCATCTGTGGTACAAGGCCTTGCAACTTCTCGTCTCAAATGTCAGCTGCTGTGTGTTTTTAAAAGTGAGAAGTAAATGCAAAGAAACCAAGTGGGCCTTGCAACTTCTTGTGTCAAATGTCAGCTACTGTGTGTTTTTAAAAGTGAGAAGTAAATGCAAAGAAACCAAGTAATTAAGGTTTTACATTTCTGTTCTCCTACTCAGTACATTTTAAATAGTTTTGGCCCAAGCCAAGTGTTTTATAGGAGTGTGTATGATTAGGTCGTTTTTTTATTTTCAAAATTCAGTAACAGTTTTGGTGTTAATTTATTTTCTAGCCATCAAGGCCTGTACCTGTGGCAAACTACCCTCATTCGCCTGTTCCAGGAAACCCCACACCACCCATGACTCCAGGGAGCAGTATTCCACCATACCTGTCACCTAACCAGGATGTCAAACCACCATTCCCACCAGACATTAAGCCAAATATAAATGCTTTACCGCCACCTCCAAGTGAGTAGCCAGTGAAGCAACTCCTCTACCTTTTACTGTCTCTCCTTCCTCTGCCATGCAAATCACACAACCCAGAAATGAGACTTTAAAAATAGCATCTTGATTGCTACATGGAGAGAAATGTTGTTTGCCAGTTGATGTTTGGTATCAACCAACCACGTTATTCAAGCTACTCAGAGAGGAAGGAAACAGGAAAGAAGAATGTCTGTTTCAAAACCAAGTATTGGAAAATGCCAGTTGGAAAAATCTCTTAAATGTTAAACTTTTAAGGACTTTGCCCCTTAAATATCTCTCTAGTTGATTTCTCAGAATGAAACGCTTAATTTTCATCTGTTATATGTTGTTGCATTTATTTCTTGTGTATAATCCCCATCATTAGCAATGTGGTGCTATTGGCCAAGGACAAAGCTATTCAACACTACTAAAGAATAGCTTAAAAGGTGAATATTTATTCATCCATGCAGACTAGGGATGTAAAATCCCATGTAATTAGTTAACCAGTTAAACTTTGGGGAGGGGCAGGAGCTGCTCTGGCTGAGCTGGAACGCCCCTACCCACTCCAGGCCAGGCCCACCATGGGCGGGAGCTGCTGCAGCTGAGCTGAAGTAATCCCTCAGGGTGCTGATTAACTGGTTAACCTTTCACATCCTAATGCAGACCAGCTGAGCTGAAGTAATCCCTCGGGGCGCTGGTTAACTGGTTAACCTTTCACATCCTAATGCAGACCTCTTCATATTCAATAGCATGTAAAAAAAATTTTTATACTCTTTTCAAAGCCACTCAAGCTCACTGCTATGTTTGGCTGAGCACAAGGCAGGAATAACACCATCTCAGTGACTCATACAGTTTGTCTGTGGTGTTAAAGGGACTAAAGAGTGATACAGAGTTAGGCCCAGGGAGAAGCTGTGTATTCTGTAAAGAAAGACTTTTGTATTAGCTCTTTACAACCAGCTGTTTAGGTTTCCTGGAGAGCTGAAAGATGGAGGTTGTTGGCATTGTTTTAGAGAGAGGAGAGTATTTTAGGTAAAAAGTTGAACAGCCCCTTCTGTTTCTGGTGAGTGAAGAAGAGACACAATCTTAAACCCATTGATTACAATGGACAGAGGTGACCTTTTCATACTGCAGGTCTTCCTGCTTCAGAATCCCTTCAAACAAACCTGTTCTTGCAGCCAGAACAGATCTGCAGAAAATATCTGGCCATAATCAATTGTGTATAAAAAGCAGTAATGGGAGAATGAATGGCTTGAGCCTTCCACTTATAGGTCACCATTAGAAACAAGAGTCAATACCACCTAGTGGCATACTTGAAATGACTTTGGTAATCTCAGTCCCAATTTCTAGGGGAGAAACAGCCACATCACAACAGAAAAAATAGCAACACACTTGGCATTAACTGGCAACCTTAGTGACAGTCTCCGCAAAGAGCCAGTGATTGAATGGGCATGGTGACTGAACTAATCTCTCACAGTGAAAAATGGGCCCTCCACATCAGGTATAAGGCATGTCTGTGGTGAGAGGCACTTTTGCTGCTCTTTTCATAAACCTTAAGCTGGGATGCAAGTGGAAGACATCCGTCTCCAGAGCTGTCAGTCTGTGCTCTTACACCTGCACGAAATCCACTTATACAATTATTTGTCATTTTCTTTTCTATATGTGACTCTATTGGGTTAAACCCAGCAACAGATCGCTGTATCATGTGTCATTATTCTGTATAAATGTACACGTTGTTATCGCACTGCAGATGCTAAAGGGAAAGTTCACACTTTCTCTCCCTCTTCGATCCCAGCCAACCACAACGATGAGCTACGTCTGACATTCCCTGTGAGAGATGGGGTTGTATTGGAGCCCTTTCGGCTGGAACACAACCTGGCGGTCAGTAACCATGTCTTTCACCTACGGCCAACCGTCCATCAAACGCTGATGTGGAGGTAGGTTCGAGCAATGTTGTGAGGCAATCTTGTATGCTAAAAGCAAAATGGTGGGCAAGATGAGCGGTGCTTGGGTCATTCATGTATTTCAATGTTAGGAAGTATGGTCTGGATAGAAAAAAAAAATCCCTTTAGCTCACATTTACATAAATTAACCTCAACTTCCAGAGAGTAAAGCACAATAATATGCTTCCTGATTCCCTTTTTCTAGTGCCAGGTTATGTGCTGTCCTTCCAAGCAAACCTGATAGATTCAGTATGAATGGGACAAGGAGCAATGTCTGCAAAATAATTATTTAAATTTACCTTTTGACTTGCTTCAGCTCATTCTGGTAAATGTGCTAGGAGCATGCATAGCTGAGACCAGCAGGCAAGAATCCTGTATTTCTGAACTAGGCACACTCCTTGCATTATCCATAGGTAATGTTTAGTTACCGTATTGGTAGTTGGCTTGGACAGTCTATGAGAACCATTCTCGCAATACCTGGCAAGTTTGCTTCTACTTTCAGCTGGAACATGGAGGTGTAAAAGCATTGATTTTAGAGAGCTATTTTAACTTACTCAGACAGGAATGAGCCAAACAATTGGCGTGCAACTTTCCCCACATAACACTGCTCTTTCACCTACAGTAAATAATACTTTTCATCAGAGAGAGAAAGAGAGAACAGTCCCTCTGGATAATCTTTTGCAGCTCTGTAATTCAAATATGCATACAATGATTCCAGATTCTGTGCTGGGTTTGTTATATGTACAAGGAATGAAAAGGCATTAAATCACATCAAAACCAAAACTTTGATTTATTAAGTTTCCAGATGCAATAGGATGGACTTGCTTTGAATCTGTGTTTCTGTGGTTTGGAGAATTTAGTTTCTCATTATCTTGTCTCATTATTTGGAAGTGTCTTAGTTACACAAGAAATAGGATTGGAAGAGACCTCAGAAGGTCATCGAGTCTAGCCCCCTGCCCAAAGCAGGACCAATCCCAACTAAATCATCCCAGCTAGGGCTTTGTCCACTACCACCCTAGGGAACCCATCCTGGTGCTTCACCACCCTCCTAGTGAAATAGCTTCCTAATATCCAACCTAGACATCCATCTCCCCCCTCCTCCCGGCTGTAACTTGAGACCATTGTTCCTTGTTCTGCCATCTGTCACTACTGTGAACAGCCTCTCTCCATCCTCTTCAGAACTTCCCTTGAGGAAGTTGAAGGTAGTTGAAGGCTGCTATCAAATCGTCCCCCACTCTTCTCTTCTGAGGACTAAATAAGCCCCAATCCCTCAGCTTCTCCTCACAAGTAATGTGCTCCAGCCTCCTCCTCATTGTTGTTGCCCTCCAGCTGGACTTTCTCCAATGTGTCCACTTCCTGCCTGTAATGGGGCCCCCAGAATACTGCTACTTAGCCAGTTGGTCCACAGCCTGTATCAGTGCTTAGAATTATTCCATCCCAAATGTGGGGTAAATGAAACCTCTTTCCAGTGTGCCTAGAATTCTCCTTCTTCCAGTTTCTCTTAAGAAGTCATCCTTCAAGCCCAGTCTAGGTGGATCATTGGTGTTATGACCTCAGACTTTTCCATACCGGGGACTTCTTTTCAACAAGCTGGAATCTAGCTGTGAGCCCCACTAATTTTGTAATGTGGGAAGGGTGGGTGGCTGTAATCTCCTGGGCATCACAGTTTAGATTTGACTAGGATACAGATACTTGTTCGCCTGTATGATGTTGGTGGTCTCAAACCTAGGAATTGGAAATGTGAGAGATTTCAAATAGGCTACATCCAGTAATTAATGCTTCTCTTTGAGGTCAGTTATTGCTTACTTGCATTTCATTATCCTGGAGTACTCACAGCAAGAGGGAGTTTTGGCAGTTATTTGCTGGTTCTTATTAATAAGTAATCACCATTGGGGATCGTGCCGGCTCGTTCTGTAGATTTATAGAGCTGCACTAAGGCATGAGGCTCTTTCTTAATACCTGATTTTTTTTTAAGTGCGCTAGCACACTGACTTGGACTTGTATTTAAATTTATTTTAATGAAGGCTCATTAGTAATTTGTGCTCAGGTTTGTCACCTTGAAAACCTTGTGATGAGCGGGCCGGGGCAGCTTGAACACTCACAAAAAAAATGGAATCTTGTGTCTGTCACTCTTACCTCTCTTATTTTTCTCTGCCTGATCAGTTACACCCACATGGAAAATGCCCAGACTGCGTCTCTCCCGTGACCAATCAGCTGTGTGTGGAGCATCAGTTGTGTTAGTGTTTCTTGTACAAACACCTCAGCAAAAAGAGAATAGATGTTAGGTGGCATTAAGAGGTTTTGCACATAAAGAAGTAATATGAGGCTTACTTTGGACTGCCTGGATACTAATACATACATTAGTCACATGTGAATTCTAGACCAAACCTTTAGATTTTTAACAGAGAATGATGGAATTGGGCCAGTTGTGAACATTTTTTTACTAATTAAAATATCAAGTAAAACATCCCTCTCATAGTCACACAGCTGATCGCAACACAAGTTGGAGTAGTTCTGGACAGCGATATAGTAAATTCAGGATTCACTGGTCTGGCGTCTTTACAGGCAGGCCCGGCCAAAGAGTTTGCAAGGCCCAAGGCAGAACGCTGTGTTTGGCTGAGCCGAACGGCTCCCAGTCAGGGCAGCGAGAGAGCGGCCGGGTGGGTGAGGCTGGGAGCTGGGCAGTGCGGGGCCCTGAATGCCCGGGACCCAAGGCAACCACCTCGCTCGCCTTGCCCAAACCCCAGGCCTGTTGACAGGTCCCCTGCTCCGTCAGTGATGACAAACGTTTGGCTGCGTGTGTTTCGTGTGCTCCCTGGGTATATCCTGCTGGCTCTGCACAGGTAGCTAGCATAATAGACTTCACGAGAACCCCCAAAGACCACCGACTCAGATAAGATATGAAGGCACCCAAGTCATGTTTATTGTTGAAAGAAGTACATTAATAGCTGTCGGTAGCCAGATGGCCTCCAAGCCCCTACGTATTTGTACTTGGGACAGTGGACACAGCTCATTCAATTGTATGGATTTCAATAACGCCCCTTAGGCCAGCCAAAGAATTATGTCGAAGTACCCCAAAATTTATAAACAGAAATGAGCAATCTATGATACACGCCGTACTTATCATCTTACGCATTAATGACATGTTTGATACCTCCCTTTGTACTTTCCTCCAAAGCATTCACTACCCCTTGTTCTCCTTTCACTCTTGCTGTTTCCAACTATTTTATCATGTACTCAACTGGTTGTCCTTGTACTATCTTGGTGGCAAGTATTTACATACTTCATGTACTTCTATCCATATTAACAATGCTAGTGTTGAGACTTGCAGGCACACATTTGCTTTTGACACGGCCTGTCTGTTCCTCATAGTATAACTCTTGCTTACTTTGGTTCAAGCACCAGGCCTACACTTCAGGCCCTTTCTTTCTCCTACACAAGTATTTTTCTCCCTATTGCATGCTCTTACAGGAAGCAAAAGAATGAAGACAAGATCAACCAGGATAATTTTGCCTTAAAAACGGATCAGTTATTGCTCATCACAATTCATGTATTATGTATCTTTGTGGGGCAGCTTCACTAGCACCCCAAATTCTCCACATTTCCACTCATCTCTGTTTGGCTTTGGACAAACTGTTTAAGGGGAGGTGGAAAAAGCATTTTTGTCCATTATAGTTTCTATATAATACACGAAGATTCTTCCTGGTTTTTTAAATCTACTTGTTTTGAAGTTAGGGATACCAGGTCCCTGCTTCCCTCTTTTATTTATTGTATTGTTTTACATGCTAACTAGATTTCTGTAGGTTCTGAATAGAGATATCACTTGAGATCTGCACCTGAATTGCTGCTTTCCTTCCTCCAAAATAAAGATCCTAACCTAAATCTCCTGAATTTCTGAGTATGATCACACCAGCGGTACAAGACCTAAACCACAACCTTTACAGAGAAAAAACTGAGTACAAATGATCTGAGCCTTCAATAAAAGCGGTCTCTAATGAGGCTGCCCAGAGTTTAAAAAGAAAATTATCAGATACTAAGAAGCAGGGTCAGCACAAGGCCTCTAGTCTTAGACTCTCTAACAAACTGCTCTCTCTTCCTACCTTCACCTCTATTCATGTCCTTCAAAGATCTTACAGGAGATCCCTGCAAAGAGAAGGAAATGAGCATCTGATGTTTCTTACGTAAAAGACGGCCAACAAGTGACTGTATGGCAGTCTTTGTCTGTAATAAACAAAGATTGAAGGACAGACCACCAGAATTTCAGTGTAACTATCCAGTCTACATTTAACCTCTCTGTATGTTAGTTTACCCATTTGTAAAATGAAGTTAATGCTGATGTGATGGGGTGCACATGTGCTACTATCTGCTGCTCTATTTGCTGAGGCCTGGTCTACGCTTAAAATTTAGGTTCACCTAGATACATCATTCAGCGCTGTGAAAAATGTGTTGTGCTCTGTGCAACATGGCTAGGTCAACATAACCCCCAAAATAGATGCAGCTAGGTTGATTGAAAAAAACCGTCGACCTAGCTGCCGCCACTCAGAGAGGAGGATTATGAAAACAAGTTCCATCAGTATTGGTATGACATTATTGCAACCCTCTAACTGTCACTGTAGCTGCTGTAGTCTAGATATATCCTCAGTTACTTAAGGGTTAACTTCAGCTCAGCTTGCTAGATCACCAATGGTTGCTTTGGACATAGAAAGGACCTTGTGCTTTTAGGTAGGCTGGCAAGGATTCTGCAATTGAGATGATCCCCAGCGGGGTGAATTCTTCTGCTTACTCTCTGAATGTGTTAACTTGCTTTATTTTCTTGTTATAAATTCTTAACGCTTGAGGAAAGAGCTACCTGACTACAGTTTTTTTTCTTTCTACTGAGTCATTCCACCGACTTACAGCCCACCATTGTAAAGCACTTTGAGATCTTCACATGAAAAGTCATGTACAAGTGTAAAGTATTATCATTATTATTATTCTCTCAAATTTCAGATGTGTGATCCATCCTGTCTTGTTTCTGTTAATGGCTTTTATGGGGAGGATAATTTATGCATTTATTATTTGTAAGGTATTACGGGGGGTGGGGAATTGAGCAAAGCAGAGCTAAAGTGAAGGGAGTAGGATGGCATAGAATTTCTAGCATCCAAACACCTTTACTTCCTTTACTATTGTGAAAACAGACTTTAAGATGGGTTTGTGCCTTGCGCAACAGGTCTGACTTGGAGCTACAGTTCAAGTGCTACCACCACGAAGACAGACAAATGAACACAAATTGGCCAGCATCAGTTCAGGTCAGCGTTAATGCAACTCCACTTACCATTGAACGTGGCGACAACAAGACGTCTCATAAACCTCTGCACCTGAAGCACGTCTGTCAGCCGGGAAGAAACACAATTCAAATTACAGTCACAGCATGTTGTTGTGTAAGTACATGGGGCTTGCTGCTGCTGCTGACTCCGAGGGTCTGTGGTATAGGAAGGAACAGCATAGAAACACATAGTTCTTTCCTCCCTCACTTGGATTTTCCTCCCATTGTTGGGAGCAGGGAGGAGTAGCACTAGGGACATGACAGGGCCACAGTGATAGTGCTAAAGACCTCGTCATATTTTGCTGTGTAACTGGGGCTCTTGTGAGTGCTCACCTCACACCAGGCAAGCTCACAGACTTGCCAGGCCCCTGGACAAGGGAGGGGGGCCTGGCTCTATGTTCGCAGAAGGGCCTTGGGCTTTGAGTGGAAAGGCCCTCAGCGCCACCTAGACCTTCTTCCTACCTCCCCTTCCTTCCCCCCTTTCCCCCCTCCAAGCTCCACTTGGGGCTTTGCAAAGTTCCAGCGGCGATTTAAAGCGGCCCTGCCAGTGTGTCTGGAAGGACTCTCCCTTGAAGGGTCAGATCTCTGCCCATTCGGTGCTTGCCTGTCTTAACAGTTCTGACTGCAGGGGGCATAGTGTGATGGCGGATGGTTTTCTTGCTGTGGACACTTGTCCACTAGGAATTGGAGTGAGGCCAAAATTGTATTTCCTACAGAGCCACCATGACTCTGGGCAGGGTTTAAACGAGCGAGATAACGGAGAAAGGCTCATATCCTATTACTTAATCCACTGAGCCATGCAACTCGCCTCCCACTGGTAGTTCTCACTTAGCATAGATTGTGTTTTTAATGGAGGGGGCTGCACACATCATACTCTGGGCTTGCTGCCATTTCCTTGCCGCTGGCAAGGGCACAGAGTCTAGGGACAGCTTTCCTAGGGTCAAAGTAGGACAGTTTGTGCCTAGTGCCTAGTGTTTTACTTCAGATTTCTTCTGCCCTGCTCAGTACCACGTTCCTTGTCTCATGCCCCATGGTAAGAGAGACCTAAGCTTGTGCCTAGTGTTTTACTTCAGAATTCTTCTGCCATGCTCAGTTCCACGTTCCTTGTCTCATGCCCCATGGTGTATGAGGGATCCCTTATTGAATGGCTGGGAGGAGAGCTCTCAGTCAGTCTGAGTGCAGGGTGAGTGGACGGTAGAGCAGTGGTAGAAAATCCAGACCTCACAGTGACAAAACCCAGAAATAACCGTTTATAGCATCACATTGTGGACTTTAACAGGGAAAATGGTGAGATGAATGTTTCCTTTTCTTAACAGCAATGTAGCCAGGTGATAGGTGTTCCGCAATCCTAGATCGTGCTTCAAAATCTCCTTCAAGGAAGTATGTTCATTCAGATGTGCAGGGTTCCCACTAGGCTCAATGCAGAGCTGCATACATGCATCCAAGGGCAGATCTCTGCTCCACCCAGTGGTCTGTAGCAACCTAACAGGTTTGGTTCTGTTGGTAACGCTGTGATTTTTCTTGCAGTCACACTTGTTCGTGTTGCAGTTAGTGCACCGGCCATCGGTTCGTTCTGTGCTTCAGGGCCTGCTGAAGAAACGTCTCCTCCCAGCGGAACATTGTATCACTAAGAGTGAGTTGTGTGTGTGTGTGTGTGTGTGTGAATGTATTACAGAGACCAGGTGGGTGAGGGATTATACTTTATTGGACCAGCTTCTGTCAGTGAAAGAGGTGAGCTTTCGAGCCATCCTGAGCTCTTCTTCAGCTAAAATAATGTAACCCCCTCCTATTCACCGTGCGAGTGTGGAGTTGTTTAAGGTAGGGCAAGTCTGCCTTGGAGCATTTTAAATAGTTTTGCAAGCCTAGACATGAGGGTTCCTCAGCATGGTCTGTTGTGTGGCAGTGGGTAGTCACCCCACACCTGGCAAGCCAACAGACTCTCCAGGCCCCTGAACAAAGAAGGGGGGACCTGGCACCACGTTCATTGAAGGGGCTTTGGGTGGAAGGGCACTCAACTCTGCCTGGACCATACTGCCTCTGTCAGTGCCACCTGGGGGCGCTGCACTTTTCCGGCAGCAATTTTAAGGGTCCAGGGCTCCGGCCGCTGCTGCTACATCTTTTGAATCTCTGGGCTCTGATGCATTTTCCCTCTTGCCCCTCCCCACCCCCATCAACAAGCCTGCCTCAGACCACAACCCCTCAGACAAACCAGCAGGAACTAAGTTTTATTTCATAAGAAAACGTAGAACAGGATTAAAATCCGACAGCCTCCTCCCTCTCTGCCTCACGCTCACAGCCTCAGAAGAGCTCTGTGTAAGCTCGAAATCTTGTCTCTCTCACCAGTAGAAGTTGTTCCAATAAAGGATATTACCTCACTCACATTGTCTTTCTAACATCTCGAGACCAACCCGGGTATAAAATACTGCAAACAATGACCGTGTTACAAGCTGATACAGGATTCTAAGACTCTCCAGAATCATAGAATACTAGAACAGGAAGGGACCTCGAGAGATTATAAAGTCCAGTTCCCTATCCTCACAGCAGGACCAAGCACCGTGAGAGATGTCTATACAAACTGCTCTTAAATATCTCCAATAATGGAGATTCCACAACCTCCTTCAACAATGTATTCCAGTGTTTAACCACCCTGACACTTAGGAAGTTTTTCCTAACGTCCAACCTAAACATCCCTTGCTGCAATTTAAGCCCATTGCTTCGTGTCCTATCATCAGAGGCCAAGGAGAACAATTCTCCCTCCTCCTTGTAAGTATCCCTTTTAGATACTTGAAAACTGCTATCATGTCCCCTCTCCGTCTTCTCTTTTCTAAACTAAACAAGCCCAATTCTTTCAGCCATCCCTCATAGCTCATGTTTTACTAGGCCTTGAATCATTTTTGTTGCTCTTCTCTGGACCTTCTCCAATTAGAATGCCTTATTTATTTCGATACCATTTTTACTAACCTAATGAAACTTTTAATAACTTGTGGCTGGGCTTGCCAGAGCATCATACTATTGGGCTACCTCCCTGGTATACTCCAGTTCAGAAACAGGGACAGGGGCAGAGCAAAGAGTGATGTCAGCCCAAGAACTCTGTCATGCTGGGGGAATCCCCAGCTGCTCGCCATGTGAGCTTTTCATCGCTCAGGCTTTGTCTGCGCTACAAAGTTTTTTAATCAAAACCCGCCTTTTGGCGACAAACGAGTGACAGCATACACGGTACAAGGGCACTTTTGTTGGGAAAATCACCCTGTTTTGGAGACAAAAAACTTCCAACCCTGCAAGAGACTTTTTTTTCTTTTTCCCTCCTTTTATGTAGACTCTGCTGTTTGTTATGTTGACAGAATTGGCTTCTCCCAGTATCCCACAGTGCCTGCCATGATGGCTGTACTCAGTGTTTTGTGATCTCTGCTGCCCTGCAGGCAAGCACCCCTTCCCTTTCAAAACTCCTGAAGTAACTAACAACTATTTGGGGAAGAAAGAGCAAATCATTGTACTGCTCCTTTTTGTTCCCTGCACTAGGAATATAGTGGCAGGCAGACTGGTGCTGCAGAAGGAGTGGGGCAGGCTGCTGTGCTGCTTTGACATTCCCCAGCACAGAGAGCTCACTGAGTTACTCATGGTGCCACTCCTGGGCAGCTGAAGAGACTGTGGGAGAATGGAGGAGGAATCCCAAGAAGTGCAGGATCAGCTCTTCCTTCCCACAACACTAGACTGTGGGCTTCATACCCACAGTGCATTGCTCACACTGTTGATAATGGTGCCCCCAGTGTGGACATGATATGTTGACAGAGGGAGCAAGTGTGACACCTTCTGGCAATTTTTGGATGTTGTCATAAAGTTGACCAAACTTGGTAGTATAGACATACCAGATCCTCTCAAGGTGGAAGAATCCCTAGTTGTCCATTTAGGGGTGCTTTCCATCTGCTTTGCAGCACAGATTGGACACACGCTGGAACTAAGCACCTGGCCCTATAACTTTTCAGTATGTGATGGTTTCTCTAAATTTGATTTTTATCCTATCTATGCTCAGATTCAGTTGTACACATAATCACTTGCTTAAGTATATAGGACTCTGTGCCATCGCATGAGAGTGGCAGGGGAACTTTCCAAAATCATATGAAAACACACTGAGGGTATGTCTACACTACAGTTTTTTTGGGAAAATGGCTGTTTTTCTGAAAAAAATCTCACATCCACACTGCAATCATGTTCTTTTGAAAAAAAATCAAAAGAACAGAGGAGTTTTTCCAACATTGGTAAGCCTCTTTCTACGAGGAAGAACGCCTTTTCCAAAAGTGCTCTTTCGGAAAAAGGTGTGTGAGGATGGGGAAAGGGAGTTCTTTCGATAGAAGAGGGCAGAGGAAAAAGCACGGATGCCCTGGTGGCCACTCCGCCCATAGTAATCACAGCTTAAATGTGAGAGAGCGTCCGTTCAGTGTGGACTCTGTCTGTCAAAAAAGCAGATCGCTTTTTCGATGAGCATTGGCATTATGGACGCTCTCTTTCGGAAGAAGCTTTTTGAGAAGATATCTTCTGGAAAAGCTTCTTCCGGAAGAAGCCTTCAGTCTAGACATAGCCTTAGATGGCTAAAGCAGCCATTAAATCTGCATACAGAGAGAAATATTGTTCATACAACCAGACTTCAAGCAGCTACATTAAAAGCCAGAGTGCACGTGTGGCTTCTCTCACATACATATTCTGTCTTCCTAAATAGTCAAGAGGAACTTCAGCAGCGTGGCAGCCTCCTCTGGCAATGCAACACTAAATGGCGAGGATGGAGTGGAGCAGACAGCTATTAAAGTGTCTCTGAAATGTCCAATCACATTCCGGCGAATCCAGCTCCCAGCGAGAGGCCATGATTGCAAGCATGTGCAAGTGAGTGCATTTTAACGTCGTGACACTTGCCCCTCTGCTGTGCCTCACAGTGTCTTTTGATTGGTTTCTGTGGGTGGGAGATATGGTGAATTTCTCTGTCTGTCATACAGTTTTTGTGGTTCAAGGTCATGTTTTAAATATGTCTAATTTCAGCCAAAGGATGTGACTGTTTCTTAAATAAATACTAAATTCAATTGATGATGGAAGTGTTAATTCCTCTTATCTGATTGCAAAATCACATACTTTTTATTGTGGATAACACCATCATTGGTCAGATCCTCAGGTTGCTATTAAGACTCGGTCCTAAAAACACATCCCTAATCCCACTGAACTCAGTGGAACTATTCACCTGTGTATTTGTAGGATCAGAGCCTGAGTCATTACTGAGATAAACTGTCAGTGAAGTCAGTAGCAGCTCACCTGAGTAAAGACTCAGGACATCAGCTAAAGAATAAGGCCCTACAGATTTGACCCAAAATGCTTCATGTCCCCAGTCTCTGTTGGTTGGGCTCACCTTCATTCCCAACACTTGAAAATGGGAGGAGGGATTATTGGAAGGATCCGTCAAGGATTGAGTTTTAATTTTCCCAGTTTTATTGGTTGCATGTCCTTTTGAAATGTACTGCTGCATTGAAGGGAGTATTTGTGATGTAGTTTTAAGGCATGTCAGGGGTGACTAAAACATATGGGTCTGCACTAGGTTTTAGCATTTTGCAAATGTAAATAATTAACATAATGTATCTGCTTGTTTTGACCAATTCCTCTTGCCAATCAATATGCAAAAAAAAAAAATCCCCCTTCTTTGTCTTCATTTTCTTATCAAGGGGGAAATGTTGGAAAATATTACATGCCTGTATGCAGGCTGGGAAAGGATATTTTCCACCTCCTCTCTTCAGCAGACTTGTATCTCCGTGCTTGCAGTCTTCTCTTATCACTCTCTGCAGTTTTATATTTGTGCAGATGGCTCAGCTAACATGTGTGTCTGACTTGCAGTGCTTTGATCTGGAATCTTACTTGCAACTGAACTGTGAACGAGGAACCTGGAGGTGTCCTGTATGCAAGTAAGTGAAACATGCTATGTCAGGTGCAGGTTGCATGGCATTTGTCCCAAGTTCTCTTCCAAAATGAACAATAAGAAGTGTTAGGGGAGAGATGTGTTAAAAATTGTGGGGAAGAACGGACAATGCCATTAAGAATGTGTGGTTTTTCTTGTTCCGTGTTACAGTAATATGGGACACGCCATGATATTTAAAAGGCAACAAAATTCAAATGAATGCAAGAAAATACTTTCTTCTGCAATTTATAACCTGGGGGTCACTGATTCAGGATATTAATGAGGCAAAGATTTGTGCAAGATTCAAAAGACGTTCAAACCTTTATATTGATAGGCTTGCTGGCACCTGCAGGGTTATTTCAGCTAGGATAATAGTTACTAAGGCTGTCCTTCCCTATGCATCACAGCATGAACTCCAACTCCATTCAGGAAGAAACTACTAAACGGCATTGGGGAATTGCATTGCATTGCCTTCCTCTGGATTATTCAGTGTAAGCCACAATCAGAGACAAGATACTAGAGTAGAAGGACTTCTGGTCTGTTCTGAGATTGCATCTCTGTTCTTCTCTGTTGTAATTCACAAATTACTGAACTTCAGAAGAGTAAAGGGTGCTCACATTCAGTACACCCACAATACGGGCTTGGCCACATTTTAGCGGTGGGAATCAATAGGGGAAATCTACACTGAGCTTGAAACAGAAATGCTCTGCCATGTAGTTTGTAATGTTTTACCCTGGTGATGGGCTGGTTACAAAATCCCAAGATCATGAGGAAACTGTATCGCGCAGCCAGGAACTGGTGACTTCCTCCCTAAACCAGCCTTCTTCTCTATATACATACTACAGCTATTACAATCTGGGTTTCTTCCTTTCTAGTAAAACTGCTCTACTGGAAGGTTTGGAGGTTGACCAGTATATGTGGGGTATTCTGAATGCTATACAAAAGTAAGTGAACTCTGTTTATTTCAGGTTTGCTTTTTGACCAGCAACACCAGTTCTCTGCTTGTTTTGAAAAGACTTTCCCCAGTTGTGTGTAATGATTAGAGCTGTTCACAGGTATTAGTTCTGGAAGTTGCAAGGGCTTGGGCTACTGATTATGAAGCTTGTCACCTGTTCAATCCAGGACAGGTTGGTAGTAATTGAAATTAATTATATATCAAATGGTTCTTTGGTAGCTTAGATTAAGTGACTTGGTCTCAGTTCAGTTGCTAAGGGAGTTGGCTCCAAATTGGCACTATTAATAGTTGACTCCTCAGAGAGGCAAAAGATGACATGAGGAGTGAGCTATTTTCTCACTCCTAATCCACATTAGTGGCATTTTCATGGACCATACAGAGATGTTTGCATTGCTGCAGTCTTGCTGAACCCCCCTCTGGACAAAAGGAAGGAGTAAATTTTTCAAACTGTCACCTGTTCAGAGTGCTGCTTACACCCTCTTGGCAAAGGAAACACTTTGAGATTGTATTGTCCTTGTGGCAAATGGAAACCACCACTTACAAACGCAGTTTTTCTTGGGAAGTTCAGGAGAACGGATAGCAAAGCAAAAACCAGTGATCCTTGTTGTTCTTGTCTTACAAAATTGTTCTTGTCTTACAGCTCTGAGTTTGAAGAAGTTACCATCGACCCAACGTGCAGTTGGCGGCCAGTCCCTATAAAGTCAGACATTCACATCAAAGATGATCCAGATGGTATTCCTTCCAAGAGGTTTAAAACCATGAGCCCCAGCCAAATGATCATGCCAAATGTGATGGAGATGATTGCAGCACTGGGTCCCGGCCCATCACCTTACCCATCCCTTCCACCTCCACCCGGGGGCAATAACTCCACTGAGTATGGTAACCAAGGTTGGTTTTATTGTTTCAAGAGCAAAGCAAACATATCCCAAACATTGTTTAGCGATTCAGTCAGCTTTTGTGAGCCACGTGTGTAGCAGTGTCATCTGTGAAAGCCCTTGCATGGAAGATCGTTTGAACAAGTAAGAAAATATACAGCCACTGATATGAAACTCTAAAGCAGCCCTTCCCCTTTAGAATTTATTTAGGCAAAAATCTGTAATGAAGTAAACCCGTTACTCTCACCCATTTTATGATAAAGCGCCTCTATTTCCCCCTACAACGGATGGGCAGCGAAGGCTCCCATGTCTACTTGTCTCATTCCCCAACACAGTTCCCTTCATCTTGCTTTCTGTCCATTTCCTCCATCCCTCCCTTTGGTGACTTCCTTTCCCTGTTCCCACTCTACAGAAGGCCACATACTGCTGAGGGTGATAACCATGGAGAAGCTTGGGCCAGTGGGCTGCCGTCTGAGCCTGCAGTCCTGTACATGTAAGCTTCTCCATTGCCCAGCTTTCATTAAGGGCCACTGTGGGTGCAGGGACAGAAGGCGGGCAACTTTTAAAGAACCATCCACAGCTTTGTTGAGACGCCCAGAAGTGTTTTTGCATTAGAAGTTAGAGTTGGAGTCGTGCACATTTCTCGACCACTACTATGTCCTAAGGTTGGGAAACACTGAACTAAATGCAGGCAGTTGGAGGTATCTGTTCTGCTATATTGAGAGTGACTAGATTAGAGTGACAGGTTGTAGCTCAAATTCTCAAGAGACTGTTGTCAAACTACAGACAGTCATCTTTGCAGTGATATGATATGACTCTCAGTACATCTCTCACTAGTCTCAGAAAACGTCTTTACCCTGGATGTGCTTCTTACAGTCATTTTGGGGAGAAATATATATGACCTATACATAATATTACATACATAATGTGGTTAATTTTCTCCAATGATTGTGAGACCAACAACAGATTATCCAGTTTTTTGAATGATTAAATAAGTGAACAAACGTAACAATATCATGGGTTCTGCATCCCAAAATGTGTTTCACTCGCTCAGTAGGGAGGGTACACAGTCAGAGCATGAGAGTAGGACTCACTCAATTTGGGTTTCGCTACCTGCTCTTCCCACTCACAGCCTGGGACAAGTTACCTCTTTTCTACTCATTACACATCTCCATGCAGTGAAGCTCAGTGCTTAAAAGCAGTTAATGTCCTCTGGTGAAAGACACTGTAGAAGGACAATGTTGTAGTAATAGTAAATACTGTGATGTTCATAGTTTAGTTTTAGTTATGTATTGCAATATGTCAATACGATGAGACCTCGCTCCTGCTCCTTCCTACTAAATCTTTCCTGAGAAGTGGGGTGAGGCCAGCTATGCACCGTAAAACTTACCCGGTTTGCAGATTAGCAAAGTGGGAATTAGCTAGGCTCTACAGCATTTACATGATAGATCAAAGTCTCTACTTCTTTGAGCAATACTCTTACATGGCTAATGACTTCTATTCCTCTGGGATTAAACTTCTGCTTAAAATGAGCTGTGCAGAAAAGCAAACAATGCAGATAGTTCAGTTTGTCAAGCTACCTGCTTGACTTGAAAATTTAAAGCTGATCTACTTCAGCTGACAAACTGCAAGCAAGTGCCAAAGCCGTTGTATTATTTCAGAGCTCAATATGATCCTATTCGGAGGCTTATATGAAATAGCTTGGTAGCCCTAGGTTTCTACCGTTTATATCAAGTAAACCACCAGAGTTGGCAGTCCACTAGGAAGCTTTAACAGAGACAGCCAGGATGAAAAAGGATATGGAGGGTGAATTATCCTCACATCGGTAGAATCAGTTAGGAAGAGAGTTGGAGCATGCTGGCTAGAACGGTATGGAGCAAAACCACACTAGTCCTGACCAGACAGTACTTTATCTGAAGACAAATAGAGAATTGTAGTCTCTTAATCTAGCCATTTCCCATCCCTCACCAGCTCTCAATTCACTTAAAATCAGTTGTGAGAGGGCTAAAACCAAAGTATTTATTTTGAACCCCCTCCCACCCTGGAACTTTTTTGCTTTCAGGAAGCATCAAATCAAACCAACCTCGGTTTAGTTTTGAAAACTTGTTAATCTTCCATTCAGAATGCACACTTTGTGTTTTAAAATGTTGGCTGCAGTCAGATTGTAACACTGCAAATTAAAAGAATAAATGCCTAAAAGAGTTGGATTGTTTATGTTCCATTTTCCAAATGATCGAGTGCATTTTATTATGTTTTGTGAAAACAAGGAACATGATAGTACAGACTTGAGCCAAAGCATTGAGGCCTCTTCTGTATTACTCTTACAGGAAGCTATATGTTTGCTCTGAAAAGGGGGCAGCAAAGTAGATGCCAGCTGTGAGGAAGCGCTGCAGTCACTTTTTTATGCAGTTCTGCCAAAAAGCCACCCAATGAACTACAGCAAGCCTGTAATCCTAGATAGACAGTAATCAAAACTGCATCATACCTGGAGTGGTTACCCTGTATAGGGTTGATTTTTAGGAATAAAGAACCCCAAATACTTTTGGATGTAGGATGTCAGTTAAATTTGAACTCCTGTCCCCAGAAGCGGGCTGTCCTCCAGGATTTTATGTCTTCGCTACTGAGTATTGGTTGTCTCCGTTCTTAAATGATTGTGCTACGTTGAAGTGGTTGCCAATTAAAATACCAGCATTTGCCAAGTTGCTACATGAATGTATCTGAACTGCTCCAGTTTCCCCTTAATTCATAGAATAGGAGCTATGTGGTGTCAATTGGTGAATGGTGACCTTTCTGTGGAAGATGACATAGAAGAGACTGGTTTGTTTGGTTTTTTCTCTACCTCTACTTTGCCCTAGTACACAGAACACAATTCCACAGTAAGAGTCCAAATCACTGCCTTGCAGCTCTGTGAATTCCACTGCCAGGGGAGCAGTGTCAGAAAGCTGAGAGTCTCTTTCATGGTAACTCTTTTTTGGCTTTTTTTAGGCAACAGTTACCAAGGTCATGGCAATTTCGATTTCCCTCACGGGAATCCCGGTGGAACTTCAATGAATGACTTCATGCACGGGCCTCAGCTGTCTCACCCTCCAGATATGCCCAGCAGCATGGCAGCTCTTGACAAGCCCCTCAGTCACCCCATGCAAGAATCAGTAAGTAACCTTACTCCAGAGCTGTCTGGTTTTTGCCTTACGCAGTCGGGGATGTTGCCGCATTAGAATAATCCAGATGGGATTGTGAACTCTTCTTAGGTCTTAGTGGATTCCCCCATGTCAATTTTTAAAATAGATAAGTCCTAGTAAAATCCGAAGTGCCACATTTAATTTAGTGTCCGGTTTAGGGCCTGCGAAGCAGCAATTCTGAGATTTTTGAGTTGTCATTAAGCTTGTCTCTGTGAAAGAAGGAACCTGGTCCAAGCAGGGTAGTCGCAGTGGTTTGTGACACGTGGAAAACTTTGATTTCATTCCCTGGGCCAGCAGGGTCTGTAAATACTTATCCCCAACAGAGAATCCATGAAAACATGATGAGCTTGAGACTAGCTTCAAAGTACAAGTGCCACCTTGTCGGCCGTTGTGACAGAATTTTGCATCTCAACATTCTGACACTGAAATCTGTCCAAGGCACACTGAGGGGTGGGGTTAAACAATCGGAAACTTGTTCTGGTAGGACACAGGACAGAAGCTTGGATGAGGAGAGGTAGACCTGTGGATTTCAAGGGTAGATGCTAACTGTCTTCTGAAAGGATATCAGTTGTTGAAGTGAGGAAAAAAACCAGAGGATGGTCAGATCTCAGATGAAGACACGAGACCACAGGTTGGGGATAGAGCTTGTTTATTTCCGAACACTGGATTGTGACTATTTCACGTGCAGAAATTTTTATCTGGAAAATACAGTTCTGTAGCAACAGTGGCAACACAAAACCTATCAGCGACACTTAGCTTTTAGGCTTGGCTCATCATCTGTTTAACTACTGCAGTAAAATGTTAATGTGCGTGTATATATATCCCCCTTTGTGTTTAAGTATCAAGGTAGGCCTGTCTATTGTCTGGCACTGTCTGTGTTTGTTTAAGTAACAAGGTAGGCCTGTCTATTGTCTGGCACTGTGTTACATGCATAGGAAGAATGCACAACTTGATATGTCAGATGTGCTGTGGTTTTAATGAGTATCGCAAAGCACATTTACAGTGTGCCACATGGACATGTAATGGCATGAGCTTAGGACACGAGTATTTATTCAGTGTCTCTTTTAGGTGGCTGCAGGTTTTTCTGAAAGAGAGTGGTGAGGAATTAGGAAGATGGTAGGATGAGTCGAAGAGCCCCAGTGAACAGAAGGCTGGCTGCAGAGGACAAATCCAGAAGCCATAGCAATTTTGTGAAGTGTAGGTTAATAAGCAATGGTGCAAGGCATACAATATAAGCCTTGGGAAACGTGCTTGTTGAACCATCCAGACTATCTGTAGCAGAGCCAACTGAATAGCCCTAAAATATAGTGAGGATTTGCTACCAGCACGAACTATCCATGCAGAGCAACTGTCGGTTTGTATAAAGGCTGTAGGGACTTCTGCTTTGCCTCCAGCTAGGAAACACTTCAAACAAGAGTCCTAAGCCAGCCAGTGCAGATGGACTTCATCAGAGTTGAGCAGTGCCACTGCTCTGATGGGTTCCGTGACATTTTGCATAACAAGTGACAGAAGATTCAGAAAGCAAGTGGCTTGAAATTAGAGTGCAGAGCTTAAGGAGCTGTGTCGCCTTCTGTAAGCCAAGAGGAAGGGCAAAATTCTCTCCAGTCTCTGGGCTTCACTGAGTGCATGAGACTGAAGGGGCAAGTTTGGAGCAGTTCACAGCCCCTTGATTCTGTGGGCCAGTTTGTGAGGTAGTTACTCATACGAATTGGTAATTGATGGATCAGAGCTTAGCTTAGCTTTGCTTCCTACCTACCAGGACATGTACTCTATATTGGTGGAGGGGAGATGGCACTAAAGCTGGCTCCGTCAGGTCTATGTCAGCTGATCCTTCCTGCACTTGACAGAGATTCTTGGCTGACCTGTTATGGCCAGTTTCCATCTTTCTTGCAGTGCCTGAATAGCATAAGGAAATCAGATTGGATTGAGAATCTTTCCTTAAGGCTTCAGATATTTCCCATAGAAGAGATTATGTTAGGGTTCTAATTGAGCTATTTGAGTATTATAAAATATCACTTAAAATAATACATCTTGGCTTGAGTATAGCAAGTTTTAAACCCACCGCTTTTCAGTAATTGCATTCCATTGCACACTCATAAAGCGCACACCTAAACGGGTTGTCAGTACCTTAAAGTAACTAAGTAATGCATGCATGATAATTGATATATTAACATAAAAACAGTTTTTGAGTAGCTCCTTACAGATAGCTTGTTTATTATTCTGCTATATACTTAGAATATGGAAATAGAAAATTGCCATACCAGTGGTTCATCTAGACCAGTGTCCTATGTCTAACTAAGATTGACCAATGAATGCCGGATATTGCAGAGGAAGTTGCAAGTAATCCCTTAATGGACTGTGTGGAGTAGCCTGCAAAGAAAGGAGACTAGCAAAGGTTGATCCTTCTTCATAAACCGTGAGGAAATGCAGAAAAAGTGTGGTGAGACATAGACAGGTTCTGATAATGGTGAATTAAATCATTAGAAATATCATTTGTCAACAGCGGTGTTACACCTATCTAACAAGAAAACCGGTCTCCCATCCAGCATGTGGCTGTGAGGAGAGAAATAAACCTCTAGGTTATAAAGTGTTTTAGTGTTCTGTGGGGCATAAGGCTATATATGGATATAAGAGGACTGCAACACAGTAGGCACAATTCCTTCATAATTATATATTTTCATAACATTTCAAGGTTGCAAGTAAGTTTTATGGGGAAGGTGATTTCAGGCTAATTTCAAGCCTGTGGCTCCTAAAGGCAAATTAGAAAAATTCCATATAAAGGTGGTACCCTCATTCATAACGTACATTCAGCAGCACTGTAACTGGTAATATTTAAAGATAGAGTGCTAAATTTACATACTGATCCTTTCCCCATCATTAATTTTTCATTGAGTTCAAAGGAATGTTAGCTTTTGGCCAGCATTTTCAAAATAGCGAAGCACGTGCACTTTATGGCAAGATTCCTAACACTTACTGTCAGTCTTATAAATGTTGTCAGTGCTGTTTTGTGTCATTAAATTGGAGAAGGGGCTTGCATCTCTATTTCTCTGATAAACTGCTATTTTGTAGATTGTGTATATCTGTATTTTAAGGAGTACAAAAACTCAGAAAAGTTTGTGGTCTGAGAAGTTTTTGGTTTGCATGCCAGGCTGTAAACAAAGGCAGTTTTGTTAAACTGTGCATCCTGCTTTTTTTATGATATGAGGACAGGGACTTGAACACATTAAAGATGTCTGAGAGTTGTTTAGGAATGCTGCATCCAGCTTTTGAATCCTTATGAGCTTCCTCAAGTTGATTTTTGATGGAGTTTTATGGTCTTGAGTAAATAATCCACTAAATAAGAGAGATTTAAAGCCCAAAATGTATGTTTGAGAACAAGTTCATCTTATAAACAACACTCAAAGTAGAGTTAGATGGTCTGTAAGGGAACTTTTTTGGATTCCCTATCCTTTGATGTTGTTATGAACAATCATTGTCCATCCAGCAAATAGCTCAGGCATCAAAACAGACTCTTACAGATATTACCTAAAATATTCCTTTGCTTTGCTTTGTGTCTTATTATCAAACATAAGAATGTCTCCTAGCTTAAATATATGTATTTTTTTATAAATTGCTAGCAATTTTTCCAGCATTCTCATACCCATGTAGCTTAGGGTTTAAATGGCATAAGTCCAAGAAAACATTTTTAAAAATTCTTTTTTCCCATTTTAACAACACTACATTGAATTATTTAAAAAAATCTATTTCCCTGCTTCTGCTGTACATTTATTTGATTTGATAGCTAGACACTGTCCAATTTCTTTTGCATTTTATTAGCTTTGATACTCATTTATAGTAGGCCCATACTAGTATAGCTACATCAGTGAAGGGCATGTTTTTTCTTATTAAATGAATAGAGCAATAGAACCCTAACTGTGGACACAATTATACTGGCATGAAGGTGCTTTGTACTAGTATAGAACTTATACCTCTTCCTGTACGGGAATAACTATACTGGCATGACAAAGGCCACACTGGAATGGGTCACTCCACTGTAACTATACCAGTGTAATTAAAGGTGTGAGTGTTTCTGTTGACAAGGTTTATGGCTCAGTAGACTGTTCTGGAAGTATAAAGGGATCTATGTTACAGTTTCACCCACTTCCCACCCCATTTACATAGCCAGAGTATTGTAAAGGGATCCTAGTGTAAATGCGAGTCAGACCCACTGGAAAATCTAAAACACAGAAATGTAGACAAATGTTTCAATAAAAAATGACTGGTTTCAGGTATATTTTTGACTGCTGTAAAATATTTCTATTAACATAGGCTTTCATAATAAAGTTCCCGATGCCATTTACTTTCCAAAATTAAATGTTCTAGCTTAATAACCTGACAGTTCCCTTTGAAGTGAAAGGGTCAACTCTGACAGAATTTTGCTGGCTTTTGTGGGTTTGTGTTGGATTGTTTTCATGCTGTTGTTGTTGCTTGCGTTTGCTCTTTTATTTCAGCTATACTTTGTGGCAATATGTAGCATTCCTCAAAAAATGTTCACATTTGCTTATCCATCTACCCAATTACCGTGAACGCATTGGTTCCATGAACATTCATGCCATTTTTTTCATGGCACCAAATTCCCAGGAACACTGCAACATTAAAGGTAGCATGGAAAGGAAGGGAGAAAATAAGGTTTGTGCCCTTTCATTGCTTCTTTATGATGTGAGTAGAGGAACAGAAATTACCAAATAACATTGTTTGAAGATTTCCTTAATTTGGGGGCCTGGAATTTTCTTCCACATAGAAAATTTCAGGAATGGCAAGTCCTTACCTTTTTGGATTTTGAAAGAGGGCTTCTTGGATGACTTAAAGGTAGACTGGGATCTTTCTCAGCCTTTAATTGAAGGACAGAGGTCGTTGACAAAGAGAGGTTTTCTGCCATGTATTTTAAATTAAGTAATAACCATAATGGAATAGAATGTTATTGATATTACCTACTTAACACAAATAGTCTGAAAAACTATCACTTGTCTTCTCAGTTAAGCAGGTTTCTCTTGACTAGCTTCTTTGATGTCACCATCCTACTGTTTCTCCAGTCATCCATAGACCCTTCCTGGGAAAAAAGGATTATTAATGCAAAGAAATAAGCAAAACTTTCCTACCCTGATCTTTTCTCACCTTTAACGCTTTGTTTACCCATCATGAAGAAGCAAATAAATAGCACAAATCCAGTGCTCTCCCCCTTCCTCCCTTTGCAGAAAACCTTGAAAGAGACAAACATTTCCTCTGATACTGGGATATGGGATTCTCTTTTTTGATGGCTTTTTGGTTTTGTTTTTAACATTCAGTTGAGGAATTTCATTTTCTTCAGACACCAGGAGCATTGTACATTGTGGCCTCACTTTCTTTTCCTGCTTTTTTCCTCCTTCGCAGATCCCTCATCCTGGCAGCACTGATCAATCCCATAGTTCCATGCAGCAAGGTTTGCACGTACCTCACCCCAGCAGCCAGTCAGGGCAGCCATTACATCACAGTGGTCCTCCTACCCAGCAGTCCCGGCCCCCGCCACAGGCCGCTTCTAGCAACCATCCACACAGTGACCTGACCTTTAACCCCTCCTCCGCCTTAGAAGGTCAGGCTGGTGGCCAGGGAGCATCTGACATGCCGGAGCCCTCACTGGATGTAAGTTTGTGTCATACTATCATCTGCCTGCCTTGGAATGTGCTTTACATTTCTGAGAGGTGGCGGGGGAGGGCAGGGCGAGGGAAAGGGAAACCGCTTTCACAGCACATGTCATCGTTTCATGCATCGTTACATGGACTTAATCACAGACGCTCTTGGCTTGCTGAGAGAACCCTTTCCGCTGTAAGCAGCTGCATGACCCACACACCAGGTCTTCTTTTTGATGAGGGTGTTTTCCTGGAGCCAACCTTTTCTCAAGAAAATTGGCCATTTGTACATCTGCTTTGTTTTTATTTCTTTGAAGTAGTGAGCCTGTGATAAGTGACCCGAGTAAAGGGCAGGCCACAGGTGCACTGTCCCAGGTGCAGACCATGAACTGAATTGTAACTGAGAAAGTCGCAGTTCAGAGCCTGCTTCCTCCCTAGCTCCTAGGGCATAGGAATCTGCGCCAATATGGTGTCATTTACCATCCCTCGCCATGCTGACTGGTGTCAGAGTGGAACTTTGTCTCCACCCACACTGTCCAGTAGCAGCCCTTCAGTGGCTGCTCTCCCTCATGCACTGACCAACTCTGATGGTAGCCAGTGCTAGAGAAGCAAGCTAAGAGAAGGCCTTTTTAGTCTCTACTCCCCTGTTTGGTTGCTTACGGCAGCTCTTGACTGAATCCTGAGTTATTTCTTTATCCTGTTTCAAGGCCAGTTGTAATCCTCTGTTTCAAACAAGGTTAAGGAGTTTGTTTATCTCTCCAGGAACCCTTCTGGTCAGCCAAACATTTCTTTCAACATACATTTCTTACTGCTAGGGTTTGGTTTGGTTTGCTCCTGTCCTCCTACTTTCAGTCTCTGTTGTCCACTCAACACATGGCGTGATTATAACTTCCAAAGAAGCGCTTACTGATGTGCCGCAGACTTGCACATGTATTTCTTGCTCATATGCTTTTACATATTCTCTACCACAGAACAGTGCTGTGTCTTTAAGTAGCCATACAAAAGGCAGAGGGGTGGAAGTAGAAGAGACAGGATTACCCAAGGCATTCTGGTCATTCCTCCTTTAGTAACTATGAAAGTTACGGGGGGAGGAAGGGGTCAGTTTCAATGTCTACATTTAGAAGCTTACAGAGGCACAGCTGTATCCACGTACGTGTGCTGCCGTACGAGTGCTTGTGCTGCCACATTATCCAACAGCAGGGTGCTCTACCTTTGACATAATAGACCCCAATCAGCAAGTGATGGCAGCTGTGCCAGTGGGAGAGCGTCTCGCACCAACATAGCACTGTGCACACAAGCACTTTCCCTGGCAAATCATATGTTGCTCGGGGTGGCAGAGGTATTTTCACATCCCTGAGTGAGAAAGTTTTCATGACGTAAATTCTGCTGCCACTCCTAGGAAGCTCACAGTGAAGCCAGTGGGGGACGCACCTTGGGGGCAGCAACAGAACAAAGTTATTAAGTGCCACATTCTCAAATAGTGTCAATGGGTCACAAAAAGACCTAGGCTTCTCCTTACACAAGTGTTTAGGTAACATGAAGAACGATTTTTTTGGTTTAGGCTCTAGACACCCTTTCTGGAGGGGTAATTCATAGTATAACAATCTGGATAGACAGAAATGATTATCAGTGACAGAATCATTCCATTTCTGAAATTGCTTTACCCAGGCAATGAGACATATGCAGATTGTGCAGTGTGAGTTTTTTTTAACATGGGTAGCAATTCATTAGGGGATATCTTCAGTGGATATGTTATGGAAGTGACAATTAGTTAAAAATGTCATGCAGCATTTGTTATCCATGAACTAAAAGCTAACTTCAAAATATGCAATGGCTGTTAATCTAGCCTGGTGTACTCACTGTTGAGCAGAGCAATTACTTTAGTGAGGCTCAATATGAAGACTCCCATCCCAGGAGAATTTCTCTTCTATATCAAAATCTACATTATCTGGATACGGAAGTGAATCTGTTCTTGTGTTTAGACAGCAATTCAAGACACTCTTATTTTCAGAAGTCTTTTTACAAGCTCAGAAAATGTGCCAAATAACTAAAGAAAAAGAACGTTTACACAATAATTCACTGTGGGCCGCACAGGTATAACTGCCTAGTTTTGGTCACGTACTAACACCTTCCTGATCTATTACAACTGCTTCTTTATTTTACATGGACCTTCACATTTATGGCTTGCGGGATAGTGGCGAGAGAAATTGTCTAAACCCACCATTCCAAAAAATGCATACAGTGAGCCTCAACATTACATTAATTCTTTACCTTTAATTAATTGTAAGGCCTTGAGAGCGGGGGCCTTCTTGTACTCTGAACAGCACTTTGCACAGGGGGGTTGCAATCCTGAACAGGGTCCTCTATACAACTATAGTACAAATTATGCTAATGTATGGAAGGGTATCATTGCATGTCATTGCCTAGTACTCTTTGTGATTACAGTGGGGTTGTTTTTTTTATTTAGTGCATGTTCCTAAATAGGACATCAATATTTTAAAAACAATAACAATTATTTCCTCCAGGAGAGGCAATTTTTTAAATCATCGCAATCATATCTTGAAAAAGCAAATAAGAAAAGTACCATCTTAGAGACTATGTTTACATTTCATTTTTAAAATATTGAAAGAGAAATTTACACCTGTTTAAAGTTTATTGAATGAAAATGGTATTTGCATAAGAATACTAAAACAGATTAATATTCAAAGTGCAATATTATTGAAGTCTAGCATTTAGTTTTGTAGCACTGGATAAACACGTAGCCACTACAAGTGTGCATTGGAACGGCTATTCCATTTGTTGAAGTAATCCATGTCTTTCTATCTTGGCACTAAAATAATCTTGAATCTAAAAAGTGCTTATTCTTATTCCATACTCCTTTTCACTGCCACAGTTTAGATTTGTCTTTTCGGTTAGGAACAGAGTAAACTGTAAATTGTCACTGAGAAACTGATTAGTTGGAATTCCTGTGTATCTGTCAGACTCAAAAGGGATCTGAATGGAATTCTGAAGAAATTGTCCGTTTGGAGCCATGTGTCAGTGAGTATTGAGTGGGCTCACCTGTCAGACATGGGTCACCTGTAAGATACTGCAGCCAGTTCATCTTTCCAAGCAGATATGCATAATTCTACTTTGTCTACTTAAAGCGAAAGATATTTGTCAATGAATCTTAGTGAATGTTTAGAGTATGAATTTGCATATAACTTTTATGAGTGCTCCCAACGAGAAAGTCATATACACGGGCAAAAAAAACTTGGCAAATATCACCAACTAGGGGATAAATTGTAACCCATGGAATAAAAACACGCTGGCCTACACATAAGTGATTCATGTTAAGGATGTTTGCCTTGAGACTGTAATTGCCATGATACTGGGACTGCAGTTCTCATACCAAAAACGGTTTATACAGATTTCCCCAGGCACGAGTTCAGACTAGATGATCCCTCCTAGCTCTATACTCTTTGTAGTGGCCATCATATCTTGATATTACATCATCTTACTTTGTTTATGCTTTTGATTTTTTTAAATGTACATACACTACAGTCAGTTTCCAGGTATGTGCAGCTTTTAATCCTTCATTCTGCTAATCTGTTTCCATTACATTTAATTTTCCTGTTAATTTTATATTTTGTAGCTGCTTCCAGAACTCACAAATCCAGATGAGCTGCTTTCGTACCTGGATCCTCCCGACTTGCCAAGCAATAGCAATGACGACCTTCTCTCTCTCTTTGAGAACAACTGAAACCCTATGTATTTTCCCCACCCCATCACTTGTCCACACGTGGGTAGCTGCACAAAGAGGAATCGTCACACTCCCTTTCCACAGAAAAACCAACAAACTCATGACTCAGTCAAATGGTGCACTCCCTACTTTCTTCATCTTAGAACTGATTTTGTCAGCTTCACTGACTGCGGAAGCAATGGGAGAAAAAAATCAGAAAGAAAGTGGTGCTCTCAGAGACTGCCGCTACCTGGCACACCCAAGCACAGACAATAGTGCGGCTAATGGAAACCCTGTTTGTTGTTAATCCTAAAGAGAGAGAGTTCTGAGATACACATAGTGTGAAGTATATTGGCAAGAACCAATCTTGGCAAGGAAACAAAAGGCAAGAGAATGGAATTGTCCTAATTGACCAGTCTCAAAATGTCCTTCCAGCGAGTGTTCTTCCATTTTTTTTTAAATCCTTCTCCCCCCTTTCCCTCCTTCCCCCCTCAACTGCAGATTTGTGTTGGACAGACTGTATTGGCCACACACATGAAGGAAAGCAAACATCTAAATCACCAAAAAGCACAAATAATACAATAAAAATCAAAAATCGGGAAGCGATACATCAAAGGAGACATCTGTGTAGCTAATGTTTTGTCTTCAGTAGAGGAACCCTGAGAATCTCCAGGCTGCAGACAGTGTGTGTTTGTGTTTATAGAGCGTAGGAATCTGCAATACTTGTTTGCAAGATCTCCCTCTGCTTAAACACACAGACTTGGAAAAAACCCTTTAAATTCGTTTTGGGTTGTTTTTGTGTTTTGTTTTTGTGTGTGTGTGTGGCTTTGGTTTCCAATCACTACCATTTGTGACTGTGTCGTTATCCAATTGTTGACATGATTATTTTTATCCAGGATATCCATCCAAAATGGAAAAGGAGTGGGGAGGGAGTGTAAAAAAGTTTTCTATTATCTAGAGCCTTCAGTGTGCTCAGTCTCCATGTCACTAGACCCTCTGTACTGCACAATACATAGCAAGACATGCTGGGTGAAGGCAGGGAAGAGCTCTTGGCATTTTTTTTAATTATTTTTTAAAGAGCTTGAAAGGAGCATTGAAAATGGACAGATATGGTAGAGCTTCTCTTTTGTTTTGCTTTATGTTTCACATACAGGACTGTTACATGTAATGAAGCCGTTTTCCCGTCCTGTTTTTTTAACTCCTTTAGCTGCCCAGGATGTTTTATTTTTCAACAAGGATGAGAATGGGGAAAATAAGTAATTGTTGGTAGGTTACTACTGCCCTCAACAGACCCTGCTGCCAGGCACTGTCTTGCCCCTGTGATCTGTGATTCTCGTGTGGCTGCTTCTCCTGCATGAGCTTCCTATTGTGTCAGTGCCCATTTTTCTGCACGCGCTCTCTCTCTTTCACACACACACACACACACACACACACACACACACACACACACACACAAATTATGTACAGTAGCTGTGTAAAAAGTGCATGTGTGCCAACTTTGCCCTTGTGGTGCGACATTTCAGCTTTTGCCCACTGTACGGTTATTGCTTTCTTTGTTACTAAAGCACATTTGACAGTCCTCCCTCCCTTATTTGTTCTCAAAAATATGTTTTAAAAAACTTAAGTGCCAGATGGAATTTTGTTAGTTTTTTTTTGTCTGTTTGAATATGTAATCCTCCCCTATTCCCCCTCGCCTCCCCATTTCCCTTTTAGTTTGCAATGCTGTAAATGGCATGACACGTGCTTACAGTTCTGGATTTGCTTTCCTCACCAAAGTCAATATTTGTAAATGCTTTGCATATTTTTTGTTAACATTTCCCATTACTGCTGTACATGCATCGTGATATATATATATGCTAGTCCGCAGCACCTTGCTGTAGATATTAAAGGAAATGGCGGTTTAGTTCTTTTATTTTCCAATAGGCGTATTGAATTTGTCAAGCGTTTTATGTAGAGGTGTTCCCATGCGTATATTTTTCCTGTTTTAAGTTTTTTTAAAGATGCTGTTCATTATGCAAAATCAATTATTTTAAGAATTGCTATTGTAAATATCTTTGTGAATAATTTAGCATCGTCTTTGATGATATTCAACATTTTCATCATTGGGTTATCCTTTTGCTGGCGTTTTAAAATACCTTATCTGGAAAAAAAAATGGATCCTTTTAAAAAAAAAAAAAGTAGGGTTCTTTAACAGAATAAGGGAGCATTTTTTTTCTTTTGATAAATTAGCCCAACTTTCATGCCCATTTCTCGAAAAAATTGATACATCGGGCAGTACCTGGGCAATCAGGTTCCAGCTCTGTCATGCAAACTGAATAATAGATAATTTCCTGGGGCAAAAAATAATCTTCACTGCCTGCATGGGTGATTATGGGCTGGTTAGTGGCAGACATTTTGCCTGAATCATCAGCGCTCGTAGAGCCAGCCCTGAAAACAGGTAAACATGCACTAAGACAAGCAGCAAGTATATAAGGTACAAAATGTATCTGTCTTCAGCTACTCCAGATTTTGAAACTGGAGCTGTCTAACACGTAAGGGTATTGGTGGGTGGGACAGGGAAACAGTACAGTATGTTTTATTCTGCTTAGAACTGTCTTTTCTTCACTAGACTTGGCCACTTGTAGCGGATCTCTGCAGAATGTTAACGATATCTCGGTATAATACACAGTGACATGGTTGTGGTATGGTGCCACACTCATGCAATTAGTAGGAAAGACCTTTCTTCAGTTACCAATGTGTTTTGTAGCCGGTTTTACTGTAGTTGTTTTTCCCCTGTATTTTTGCTGCATCATTTATGTAGGTATTGAAGTCATTTGCATGGGTGGATAACGACCTGACTTTGTATTGCCTTTAGGTATTTGGGGGTTTTTTAGTCATAGACCTTAGAATAAGGAACACTTCTTACTATAAGTTGGAATTGGTTGCTCGAATTCTGTAATTGATACTATTATCGATTATTTCACTGCTCTACCCTATTGTTGCTCGAGCAGCTGGCTAAATAAGTCACCTGAAATCATGTGTCTATTAAAACGAACCTATGCCTTTCAAACCAGGTATGTTAAGAACCAATCTGTTGCTAATTGGTAGTTGTCTAACTGTCTCGTGTAGAAGTACCTGTTGAGAAACAAGCTTAAAAACCCACAGAGAATAGCAATGCAGTTATGCTGGTTTTCTAGTTTGTATATTAATAACAGAGAAATCAATGGACTTTTTAACAACTGCAAATGTTCAGCCTACAGAACCACGTTTCCTAAGCAAAAGTGACACTAGGACTTTTAGCCATCATCAAACTGTCAGAAATTTGAGACAGTTTCAAGACTATCAGCTGATGTCAGGTACTGTACAGTGGATTCAGTATGAAAAAACTTCTTAATGAAAATATGGATAATTTTTAATCTGTTCACTGCTAAAATGTTAAAA